TATTTTCATAGTCTTATTTTTCTCACTGCTGAGACAAAATACCTAACATCTAAAGTTAAAGGGGAAAAGTTTATTTAGCTCAGTTTGTAGAGGTTTCAGTCCATAATCAGTGGATTCCAAGGCAGTGTGGAATGCCAGACAGGCACTGCAGGGGTGAAAGTTTGTGGCAGGCAGAAGACAGCAAAGCAACAAGGAATGACCACAGTTCTTTCTACTCCTGTTATCTTATCCAGGCCACTTAGGGCGGGTAGCATACACACCTTCAATTCTAGGGTCCTCGATCTTAGTGTTGTGCCAAAAATCAATTCCCATGTCACACACTCTAGATGCAGCCACCTCTGAAAATTCTCACTTGTGACTGCATGAGGCTTTAGGGGGACATTTGAAAACAAGCTATAACTGCTACATTGCCTTTTTTTTCTTGCCTAACAGCTTCTGCAACTTCCATTTTCTCCTCCACAGAAAACTGCCGCTGCTTCTTACTCCATTTGCCACTTCTGGGTGGAGGGAAAGGCCAGGACTAACAGGACTGTGTCTGTGTCTCCTTGCATCTTGTTTTACCAAGCACTGAGAAGACAAAATGGAGTAGCTGTCAGGAACCAAAGTTAATGAATTCACTCTAAAAGAATGGTTCAGATTTCTTAAAACTTTTATTAGGAATCATACAATCAGGCTAAAATAGAGAGAAAATAGGATTCATACGACTGACTTTTTTTGTCTAATGCAGGGTCTCACTATGCAGTACTACTGACTTTTGTCAGTAATGGTTTATACTTGGACATTTCAAACAGGGCTGAAGGGCTGTTACAGATAAAGTTTAATTAAAGTTTCCAAGACTTGGTACAAATGGGAATAACAGTTGAAAAAGGTGGGAAAAGATTTTTTTTTTTTTTTTTTGGTGGAACTGGGGATTGAACTCAGGCCATTGTGCTTGCCAGGGAAGCGCTTATTCTACTGAGCCATCTCCCCGGCCCTGGGAAAATATTTTTGCAAAGAACAACGCAGTGTATAAATTCAGTTATTTATCCAGCTTGTTTTACATAGAATCTGTGGCCCAGATAAGAGGCTGAACAAGATTTGAATAGCAGAGATTTGGCTCAGAGCTGCATCTGTCATTCAGCGGTCCAGTGAAATTCCACCAAAATGTGACCTTCAAAGTTCTCTCAACATTTAGCTTGCAAAGATTTTCAATGGAGAAGATGCTTCTGCTGTCTTATATTCACTTAATAAACATTTAGAGGTTTCAGAATTCAGTGAAGAATTCTGTGAAAAATAACAGATTTAAGGACTCTAACTTTATGAATTACAAAATATTGGAGGTGAAGATAATTGAACAGATAAATAAGGTAATCGCAGAGTGGTAAGTACTATAAAGGAAACAAACGGTATAACAGGGAAAGGATTTATTTATTTACTTATTTTTGTAGTGCTGGCGATTGAACTCAGGACCCTGCACTTACCACACAAGCACTTCTTCTACTGAGCTATATCCCCGGCCCTGAAAGGATTTATTTACAGAGGTTGTTAGAGGTAAACTCACTAAGACAATGGCATTTAAACAGGCTTTCACAAAGAGTGGAGGCAAAGGGTAGTTCAGCAAAGGACATGTTCTCTGCAAACGCTCAAAATCAGCAAAGAGTTAGAGGTATTCTGGGAACTAAAGCAGTTGACTGAGTCAGTCAAATATATAAGGTTTGGCAAGCCAGACCATTCAAAGATGCTCTATATTCTGAGTGGGAGAAATCTACAGGTTTTCAGAGAAGGAAGTGTTATGATCTGTTTTGCATTTTAAAAAGATTACTACTACTTTTGTGGAAAATGTAACAAAGATATAAAGAGACCAGTTAGGATATCAGGATGTTACTGCTAATAACTGGAGTAAGGGATGACAGCAGAAGTGATGGGCAGGTGGTAGTACAATCCCTTTTTGGGCCTCTACCTATTTTAAGGGGTGTGTGTGTGTGTGTGTGTGTGTGTGATTTTTGAGACAGGGTTGCTATGCAGTTCAGCCTGCCCTTGAGCTCACCAGCCCAGGCTAGTCTTGCACTTGCAACCATCCTCCTGCCTCAGCCTCCTGAGTGCTTGGATTACAGGACATATAATCTGGATCTTTTAATATTTTAAAATGAAGAGATTTGACTCAACCAGGGAGGGCATGTCAGAATTTGACATCCAAGTCCAGTCTAGGACCTATTGAATAAGAATCTCTATGACAATGTCAAGGTCACATGTTTGCAAACCATAGGAATACAGTAGGTAACGCCTACCCTCTGTTCCAAAATGCAGTACTGGATCCTAGATAGATGCTCCAAACTCAAACAATACTTCATTTTAAGGGCCAGGATACTGGCCTAAGTGACACCAGGATAAGTATTTGAAGAATGCTGTGGTCTACATGCTATGTCTAACACTTTTAAAAATTTACAACAAACAACTCCCCTGCAAAGCCTGGTTAAACAAAACATCATCCAGAAATAGTAATTGCCTGCTTCATGCATTTTAGCATGAGAATCCTCAAAGGACAACATACTGTCACTTTATGCTGCGACAACTCCTTCCCAAGGACAGATTTCTACCACTGCTGCCATATATTTATCTTTCCATTCTTGAGATCTTGTGTCAAGCACTGTCCTCAATACCACATACAAGGTCCCATGAATGGGAACATGTGCCTACCCATCACCGAGAAGCTGACCATGGGAAAGGAAAGACAAAACACTACAGTGTGTGAAATACTGTAAGAGGTTCTACAGGAGTGGATATATATATATATATATATATATATATATATATACACAAGGGGAGATAATTAACTGGGATGGAGCACAGAAAGGGAATGCATTTCAGAGAGAAAACAAATCCTTAAGAATAAACAAATTAGAATTCACAAGATGCTGGAAATATGTGTAAAGGCAATGAAATACTATAGAAAATAAAATGTCATGGACAGGAAAAAAATGTCATTGGAGAATAAATGAGGACTAAACAAGGGGCTATTTTAGGATTCTAACGATTCTGGAGCAGTAAGCTTAGGGGAGTTTCTGTTTTGTTTTGTTGGGTGGTTTTTGGCTTTGTTGTTGGGATAACATTCATTTAAGGAAGAGTCCTTTGCTTGCAGTGTTAGGAACATAGTGAGTAAAGTCCATTTTCCTAACAAATGGCTCTAAATCTGAAAAGTAGGCTAGCCTAATTGGCTGTATATAGTTTGAATGTTAGTTTGAGTGCAACATGAAGCTAATGAAGGAGAAAAAGATGAACGTTGTGTGAAGAGTGGAACTAAATGGTGCCACAGAAAAAGCAGGAGTCCTACAACTAGGAGTATAGCTCTGTGGTAGTAAAGTGTATGTGTTAGACAGTAGGCTCAATCTCCAGAATCTCCTGCCTCCTCAAAAGCAAGAGTCCAGACAAGAGACAATGGTAGCTTAGATTAAAGTAGAAATAGAAGTAATTAGTTTGGGCTAGTTTTTGCAAGCCTTGCTGATGGACTTAATGTGGTAAAGGAGAAATCAAAGGTATCTCATAGATTTCTGTTTTGAGTGCAGAACAAACCAGGGAGTGGTAGTGCCATTTACAGAAAAGGGAACCAATTAGGGAGAGTCTATTGCTTAAATATAATTTGTGAAACATTTTACATGTTTATTTGTGACAGGTCTGGGACTCACACCCAGAGGCTCA